TTGACCTTCTTCTGAGCCTCATGTTCTTCCATAGATTGTTTATAATCGGAAAGGCGTTTTTCCAGTTCCTCTCCAAAGATAATTCGATTTCATCAAGTTAATTTAGGACTGCGAATTTTTATTATTTATTAATCTTCCAGGCTTTGTGATCTAAATTTAAAAAGTAAATATGATGGTAAATAACAGACATCATAATGGAAGTTTGGTTACCTGTAGCAACTGCTTCAAACTTACTAGTTTCCAACCTCGGACGCATCAAAAACAAAAATGGTATGATATTTAAGCGAAGTCCCTCTAAAAGAAGTGGTTATATACGAACGGGGTTAAAAATTAATAATGTTTATAAAACTATCGCCGTTCATATTTTAACATTTATCCCTAACCCAGAGAATAAGCCCATGTTAATCATATCAATGACATCAAACACGATAATCGGGCTGATAATTTGGAATGGGTAACTCCCAAAGAAAGTGCCGAACGTAGGGTATTTCCAAATCACAGCCGTATCGGATCCAGAAAAATTGTGCAGAAAACGTTAAACGGAAATGTTGTTCAGGTTTGGGATTCTATTCACCTCGCCAGTAGTACACTCAAAATTTCAGAATGTTGTAGTGGGAAGCAAAAAACTTCTGGTGTCTGGCGTTGGATGTATTATGAAGATTACATAGAACTAGATCTAAATGAAGAATGGAGAGAAATAGAGCTCAATTCACGAAAATTCAGAGTTTCATCTCTCGGAAGAATTCAGTTATCAAATGGTGAAATAACCCAAGGTTCATTGCATATAGGTTATCGAAAAATCGCTCGAGAAGGATATCTTGTTCGTCGCTTGGTAGCATTTTGTTACAAAGAAGGAAAAGAATATGTAAATCATATTGACGAGAATCCTACACAGAAAGAAAACACCCAACATGCCTGTACGTCTTGGGCTTCGTAACTTCAAGGATAGTAACGTCCTATAAGGCAGAAGTTTGCATAATTGCAATAGGAGTCATATCAGCCAGTTGCGAGACGTACTCATCACCCGCCAGACGTACTATTGGGCTAGCAAAAGGCCAGGATATTTTCTCCATTCTCGTACATCCACCGAGACGTACTCATCACCCGCCAGACGTACTATTGGGCTAGGTGGAGACAAGAAGTTTATGCATCATGCTAAACAGTGCGAAAACCTGACAAGATAGGAGAATAAAAAAACTGATCACGGAGTTTTATATGTCATGTTGTCACGTGATAAACGCGTAATGTAAAATAAATCTTATAAACATTTAGAACATTTAGAAATCGACTTCAATATGGATTGGGTACCCCCAGAGCTTCTTAAGGACATTGTTGACAATTATTTCTTCGCAAATATGTGGCACGACTGGACCCTTGTTGGATTTCTTGAGACTAAGAGAAGTCAAATCCTGGCTGGCCTTCAAAAGACAAATGTGCATCATTCATATAAGAAAGGATTACAATTGATTTTGGATGCAGAACCGCCCGAAGACGTTTCCTTCGTCATCATGAAACAACTAACACAAAAAATAACGGAAAGTGAAGAAGTCAAAATGTTCTGGAAAGCAATAACTGTTGAGAAGAAATATAGGGAACAGCTAACTAATATCAAAGCCAGTGCTTCGTTCGAAAGTGTAAGTCTGTGTGCTTTGCATATGTTTTGCCGATTATATTGCATTAATTTAGAAACATTTCCTTTTAGGATGTTCTCAATGTTCGTGGGAAAAGATTTGCTGAAGAAATTGATGATGTGGTCCAACGAGATGTAAAGAGAGTAGAACTTGGAAATGACATTGAAAATATTAGCACACCCACAAGAATTAAATTTAATGCTCAAAGCAAAGAAGTAGAAAATGGAGAATACGAAAAAGTGGAGATTGACGAGGAACAAATAACATTTTGGACAAGCAACAATGAACAAACTAACAACCAAACAAAACAAAAGTTAGAATTATTCTCAACTCCTCATAAACCAATTCTTACACCACATAAGTTTAATATGATATCTTCTAAAGTTATTCCGGGGTTTAAATCCCTTAAAAATATTATTAATATAAGATATCCTGAGATAGTAAACGAGATCGAAACTTATGAGAAAGAACAGAAAAGGCTAACTAGCCTAGGAACAACTCTTAAGGTATGGTTGCAAAAAACTTTATCATCAACCATTTCAGAGGAGTTACATAAATACCTTATGGAGCAATTGCAAGGCGAAAATATCACAGACCGAGACAAGAAATTACATGAAATATTTGAGTTAACATTAAAGGAATTTTATTTAATGGTTAAATATAATCCAAACCATGCTCTTGTAAGACATAATTCAGAGAGAAAATTTCTCGTTGAAAGGGTGTCAACACCTTTTAAACTCGTCGAATATGTGTTTGGAACCATTATGACATACTGGATTGAAAAAGAAATAATGTCAACAAAGGCAACAGAGTTCGTAGATAATCCAGTTGATGAGCCAATATCCAAAAAAGCTGATGCACTGGTCACAGATCTTGCATATAATATAGACGTGATGAATATGGAATCATCAGGAGGTCCCTTTCAACAAGATAGAAAACATACTCTCGAGGATTCGGAAAAGATATCCAATACTGGAGTAAACATTCTTCTCACAAGTCTCCGAAAGTATCTTGGTGCTAGTGTTGAGACCGCCAAGAAACTTAAAGCATTCAATATTCAAATCGTTGGTATGCAAATTATTTCTCATATTATATATCTACTGATATATTGATAATGGTATAGCAATTTTTGTAGAAGATCGAATTACACTAATGGAAGTATCCCTTTACAAACCACGGATCTGCAAAGAGATTGAAGTCAGAAGCGCTGTCTTTCCATTTGCTTTATCCTCCATAGGAGAATACATGCGTATTTTTGAGCTCATAGCATATTATGTGGTATGTTATTCTGTCCAATCATATCAAAATAAGTCATTAATTTTTGTACATATCTAGGACGGACTTCTCAAGCGCCAGGAGGTCATACGAGAGTTGTCTAAAGAAAGTAATGGGGTAAAGGAGGTAACTTCAGAAATATTTTCGGATTGGTGGAGTAAGACTTTATAATAATCTGCTATTTACCAACGACCGAAATGGTTGCGTAATAGTAGCCCATTTTTTTTGTATTTTCAGAGTTGTGTTTTTATCTGATTTTATTAGCATTGTGTATATATACATGAGTAAGAAAAGAAATAGAATAATACACGATACTGACGAGCTTCACTAGTTACAAACCGATTTAAATTTGAAATAGAATTGGCAGTAAACGATTTAATTCGTTGTAAATATGACATTTGTTGAATATTATTATCATTAAGATGAAAAAAAAGATCATAAACCTTCCGCTTTTTTTCGAAGTGTACTTTTTTTTAGGAGCTGATCCTTAATATCATTATAAACCTTCTAGGCCTGACAATCCTTATACGTTTTTCTATAGTGGGCAAAAAGCTTTTCTAACCCCTTTCCAAAGTTATTATCAGTTCATGATGTGTTTCTGCCTTTGAAATTTTTACATATAAATCAAGAAAAAATTCGGGAACCCTCAACTTCTCGTATAGATTCTTTATGAAGACCTTTTTTCTCCCTAATTTCAGAAATTCGAGTAGTATCAGACGTTAATTCCCGGATAAGCCTTTTTAATACGATTGAATCCTCATCCTTAATCACTTTCTTAACTTTTTTTACTGGAGGAATTTTCGGTTGATTCATCCGTAGCTTCATTAGTCCGCTTTTTACCTGTCGAATCGGATTGAATTTCAACTTGAGATTCCTTTTCCTTCTCTTCTTCTCCGTCCTCATCTCTATCACCCATATCCACGTCTTGATCCTGGGACGAAGTTTTTTGAGAACTAAATCCAACATTATGGGTAAATTCATCAGCCAGATTCGAAATATCACTTATTTCAGAAGATACAGAGTCTCGTCGTTAGGCTTCATCAATAAGCTCGACATTTTTTCCACACTTAGGGAAGGGACATGTATTTGGTATGATAAGCAGAATTTTTTTCTCAATACATATTCTGTGAAATATGTATCCACAACTACCGAGAACAATAAACGACTCATATGTAAGTGTTAAAATTTTCTTGTTACATATTGAACATGGTGGCAGTTCAGTATCATTAATATTTTGATCAATACTTCCACCCGTTTCCTTTAGAATGTTATATGCGAGGGTTTTAAGACTGGAGAGAGACATAATGATTAAGAATGTAATCGAGTAACGAGATTCATATTTGATTTTATACCCACTTTGGTCAATATCTTAGACCCTATCCATTAACGGAATCGATATTCCTGGACGATGGTCTTGAATGGATCTTGGTGATGATCTCAAATGAAAAAATGTTTATTATTGAACACAAAATTAATTATCGAAAAAAAAAGACCGTTTAGGTCTAACTGTTTTATTGATACAGTACAAAATAAATGAGGGCGGTTAAACTATCTATTGTAAAACAAGCCGTTAGGCGATTCTCCGAATCATGGCTCTTTGAGCCTACCCACTATTTTTTGGTAATTTTTTTTATTCTGGCCCTCTTACTGGCTGGGGAATTATCGACCGTTACCCGATCTTTTAATAGGCCAACGATAACACCTAACACTCGTTTTACCCCTTTTCTGATTAATTCGATATCTTCTTTCAATGCTGTTTTCGAAAGATTTATCTGATATTCGCTTTCACTGGTACAGTAAAGTCCATCCGTAGTAAAAACGAGAAAATGCCAATCCATACCTTCATAATGCAGAAACAGGAAATGGTTATAAAAAAATTTGATGATGAGGAAGCGGAACCCATAACTAGAAAAATTCTCTATATACCGGTAGATACGATCCCATAGATATAATCATAATCATCGTTTCCAAAAGCTTGGTCCGCGGTTCGTTTTTTCTTATTCGTATGGTATGCACTCTCTAGTTGCATAATATTCTGAAGATAGCCAATCTTAATATTGCGTGGCTTGCCTTCTGCGATACACATGAGATCCTCCTTTCCCTTAATCGCATAATCAACACGACCAGACGCTTCCTCACCAGATACATCTTTTTGCAGTGATATATAAAGTTTTTCTTCTTTGGTGACTCTTCGAACGATGGCAAGTGACGTATGTAGGATCGACGAAATAAATTCACAGCGGGTGGCCTCATTGGCATCAGTCATCGTTTCGATATTCGTTAATATTAGTGTTATGTCTGCCATACAGTGCCTGAATGCTTCGTCGTCATCATCGATCTTTACGGAATCTATAAACAGAAAAAACGAGTTATTATTTATCTGGAAATTTTTCTGATCATGACATTTTTGCCAAGAAATTTCGGCCGAGACCCTGTCAAAAAATGCCAAGAAAAAATAAAATAAAGTACCACATACCTGGATTAAACTGCTTGATGTTCGTTATATCCTCACCATTAACTTTATATTTGCGGAGTACGTCCTTCAGTTCTTCCGAAGTTTTATTCGACGAGAAACTTCGTAGTCTCTGTCCTAGACTCTCGATAAATTTTGCGAGTCTTGTTGCTGGACCCCCTTTCATGCCATAGCTACGAAATTCATCTTTGGTTAACTCTATAAAATCGAGACCGGAAATTCTCTCATTGCGAAATATTTTGAAATCCGCCTCAACAAGATCTAAATCTTCCTGCCTCTGTAGATAGTCGATAAGCTCTTTCGTCTTGTATTTTTTAACCACGTCCGACATCGTGCGAGTTGACCTTTCTTCCGTCAAAGTAGAGGATGTAGAAGCCGGTGAGGAAGGTGAAGAAGCGCGTGAAGACATGATGTTGCTTTTATACGTGGAAATTCGTAAAATCTGGTTTATGTATCCCGCTAAGTAAAGCTAGGTTATGCGATGCAAGTGAAGAATGAAAATTTTTATCGCATCTATTTTTGGGTGATCGGTGGTTTATATACTCACGATGGAAGTTACACGAACTGATTAGGAGATAATGTACTACTTAAATCACGCCTAACGCGTCGTTGCTTTATTATTACGAAA